TGTGTAGCAGAAAATGATATTTAAGAAATCTTAATGCAACAGTCTCAGGTAGAGAAAATGAAACCATGAATAAATACAGGTGAAATTAAGAATAGAAGACGGATTTTGAGCCGGCGCCGTGGCTCAATAGGCTAATCCTCCACCTTGCGGCGCCGGCACACCGGGTTCTAGTCCCGGTTGGGGCGCCGGATTCTGTCCCGGTTGCCCCTCTTCCAGGCCAGCTCTCTGCTATGGCCAGGGAGTGCAGTGGAGGATGGCCCAGGTGCTTGGGCCCTGCACCCCATGGGAGACCAGGAAAAAGCACCTGGCTCCTGGCTCCTGCCAGGATCAGCGCGGTGCGCCGGCTGCAGCGGCGGCCATTGGAGGGTGAACCAGCGGCAAAGGAAGACCTTTCTCTCTCTGTCTCTCTCTCTCACTGTCCACTCTGCCTGTCAAAAAAAAAAAAAAAAAAAAAAAAAAGAAGACGGATTTTATAATAAAAACAACTTAAAAGCATCATGGTGATGACAAGCTGTTTTTCATTGTTGAATGAAAAAAAATTAAAATTTGACCAAATTTTTGAGGACAACCATCTGATGATGAAGTGAAATCAAAATAAAAGTAGAAATTCGACTAAGGGAATACTTAAAGGACAAACACACATATTTTTGGCATTGCATTACAAGAAAACACCCCAGCTGGCATAAAGATTGAGGAATCAAAAACAGCCGATTTACCAGCTTGGGATGTTAGTGGGGGAAAGTTCAGAGCTGAGAAAACATCCAGAAATTGGGGAGAAGGAGAAAAATGCAGAGGGGAGGCCATAAAATTAAAGCCTACATGTTTGAATAAAACCCACCAAAATTGTTGGCTAACTAACAAACTACATGTGTGGAAGCAGTCACTGGAAATTGAAAGAAATGGATAATCAACCACTGAGCATTAAAAGAAACACAGAGGTTTTTTTCTCCCAAACCAAAAGAAATCAGCATATCAAAGAGTTATCTGCACCCACCATGCTCATTGCAGAACAATTCACAATAGATAAGATATGGAATCAACTCAGATGCCCATCAACTGTTGACTGAATAAAGAAATTATGGGGGGCTGGCACTGTGGCAAAGCCACCAACTGCAGTGCCAGCATCCTATATGGGTGCTGGTTCAAGTTCCGGCTGCTCCACTTCCAATCCAGCTCTCTGCTATGGCCTGGGAAAGCAGTACAAGATGGCCCAAGTCCCTTGGCCCCTGCACTCACGTGGGAGACCTGAAAGAAGCTCCTGGCTCCTGGCTTCAGATCGGCGCAGCTCCAGCCCTTGCGGCCAACTGGGGAGCAAACCAGTGTATGGAAGATATCTCTCTCTCTCTCTCTCTCCCTGCCTCTCCTCCCCTCTGTGTAACTCTTTCAAATAAATAAATAAATCTTAAAAAAAAAAACCTGAATTCACAATACAACCATTTATGTCCCTTAAATTATTAACATCAATTATAAAAGGAACCGAGACTGAGTTCTATCTCTTGCTATCTCACCATGCAATGCCTTCTGCCACCTTATTAGGCAGCAATGTGGCCTTCTGTAGATTTGACACATACCTTTGGACTTCACATCCTCCCAGAATATAATACATTTCTTTACTTTTTAAATTGCTCAGTATGTGGTATTTTTATAGCAACACAGAGGTGACTAAGGTAGAACACAGATCAATAGGTATTGTCTAACATTTGTAAAAAAGAGAAAAAAAACTGGGCAGAGGTTAAAACTGCTGGAACAATTTAGAAAGCAATTTGGTATACAAAGAATACTTCAAAAATTTAGGAAAAATATATTTAAATTTATGGTGGGCATTTGGCCTAATTGCTAAGACATGAGTTAAGATGCCTCCGTCCCATACCAGTACCTGGGTCTGACATGAAGTTGTAGCTTTTCTCTCCAGCTCCCTGCTAATACAGTTTTGGGAGGTAGTGGTGATGGCTCATGTAATTGGGTTCCTGCCTCCCACACAGGAGATCTAGACTGAGTTTCTGGCGCACTGCTTCTGCCTGGCCCAAATCTTGGCTCTCGTGGGCATTTCAGGAGTAAACCTGTAGATGGCTGCTCTCCCTGTATATCTGTCTCTGCATCTCTCCCTGTCTCTCAATAAATAAATTAAATACTTGAAAATCAAGTCTATTTTAGTACAGATTTTGCCATTGTGCATAGTTTGGGCATAATATGCATATCCAATAGCCTTATGGAATAATCATAATCTTTAAATTTACAAAAACTTTTTTAAGCACACTGTACATGTAACTGGAGTTTTAGGAAGAAAAGAGAAAGAATAGAGTGCACTATGTAGGTTTAGCAAACAATGATTAAGGAGACATAGAGGCATAGAGGGTAAAGCCACCACCTGCAGTGCTGGCATCCCATATGGGCACCTGTTTGATTCCCGGCTGCTCCATTTTTGATGCATCTTCCTGCTAACACATGTGGGAAAGCAGTGGAGAATGGCCCACTGTACCCACGTGGGAGACCTAAAAGAAACTCTTGGCTCCTGGCTTTGGTTGGGCCCAGCTCTGGCCATTACAGCCAGCTGGGGAGCAAACTCTTTCCTTCTCCCTCTGTAACTCTGACTATAAATCAAAAAATAAATGAATCTTTAAAAAAAAAAAAAGAAAAAGAAAGAAAACAAAAGCTAAAACTCTCTCAGTTTGTCAAAGACCTCAATTTACAGATTAAAATGTTCAGCACAGACACAAAGAAAACTACTCTAAGCAAATCACCAAACAAATTCAGACAAAGAGATCCTGAAGACAGCGAGAAAAAATGCACACACAGCATACTGGGCCACAGCCACATAAGGATGACAGTTGACTTCTCTCATCAGAAACAACGGAATGAAAAAATAAATCCTTAAATATAAAATTTGATATACAGGGAAAATCCTTAAAATGAAGTGTAAGGGGCCTGTGCTGTGATGTAGTGAGTAAAGCCACCACCTGCAAGGCCGGCATCCCATATGGGCGCCAGTTCAAGTTCCAGCTGCTCCACTTCTAATCCAGCTCTCTGCTGTGGCCTGGGAAGGCAGTGGAGGATGACCCAAGTCATTGGGCCCCTGCACCCATGTGGGAGACCTGGAAGAAGCACCTGGCTCCTGGCTTCAGATTGGCGCAGTCCCAGCCATTGTGGCCATCTGAGGAGTGAACCAACAGAAGGAAGACCTTTCTCTCTGTCTCTCTCTCTCTCACTGCCTGTAACTCTACCTGTCAAATAAATAAATAAAAATCTTAAAAAAAAAAAAAAAGCACTACAACAGAGTGAAGCAGTACCATACTACCTAAAGTATATTGTATCTAATTAAAGATTCATATTGTAAAACCTTACAAAAACTGACACAAAATATATATAATTGTTACATGTCAATTAAGTGTTATGTTTGTTATCCAGGATATCCTACCAAAACACTACAGAAGGGGTGTCTTAAACTATAGACATTTATTTTCTCATACTTCCAGGGACTGAAAAGGCAAGAACAAGCCACCTGCCAGGTTGTAGCCCGTTAATTCTTGAATGTTTTCTCCCACTGACTCCGAAGGCTTCCACTGCACCAACTGTCTAGTAGCACAACTCAGGAGGATTTAACATCATTTCTGAGCTAATACAACCTTTGGGATTAACAAAGAGTGACACTTCCAATGTAAAAACACATAGAATTACTGTATTTGTTTTTTGAGAACCAACAACTTCTCTACCTCTGTTCACACTTCATGTAGGCATTAGAATAAAAATGTAAAAAACAAATCGAAGGAAAGTAGTATGAAATGCACTATATGAGACTGACCTAAGTGGAGGGGCAGAGGGGGAATCTGGGAGAAGTTACATTTCAGTGGTCTGAGTCCAGGCTAGCTGGTATTGATGCCACATATAAATTTTAGAGAAGAATGAAGGACATGGTTTTCATCTTGTACTTGCTGAGTCTGAGGTGGTTCTTTGAAAGCTACAAAGAAGCATTCACCAGGCAGTGACCCTACAGTCTAAAGGCTAGAAATGGGGTTCAAGTTGGAAACTCTTGGAGTGTGAGATTAGAGAGGGCCACGTCACTCAAGAAAAACTGAAGAGTGGAATGACCCTTGGATCAGATGGAACAGTCGAATGAGTCATGTAAAGAATAAAATACAGAGATTCTGAGAAAAAGAAACCATCAGTGAGGTTATAATAGATACCAATAGAGAAGAATTTCCAAGTGAAGAACATGGACAGTAGATTCAAACATGGCAGATGATTCAAATAAAGCAAAGACTAGAGAACAGACTTTAGATCCAATTATAAATTAAATTACTGGTAAACCTGTGAAGAACTGAAATAGGCTACATCAGTGCATATAAGCAATGGAAATATCTGCTCAAAAATGTATCTTTAGGTAGTCTGTGGTACAACCTGCAATTACAGACTGGCTCAGATAAACATACGGAGAGTTATAATCTACCTGTAGTAGATTCTATCCTCCATACATTCCTGGTTGTATCCATCAGTCAAGTATAGCCTTTCAAATGCCATCTAGGACCACACTGTTAAAGCAAGTCCACGCTGCATCAGGCATGAGAACAAAGATGTCAAAGAAAAGAAACCAAAATAGCAGGACTTAACACCAGATGGGAAAAACCTTAATACTGATTTATTTTTATGCATTGTTACTTTTAAGAGTGCTAAGCCTTCAATTCCAGGTTGGTAATGTTACTGTCTACCACATCAATGTAACTAATAAATCTTTTAGACTAAATATCCCACGTGATTTTAGCATGTTCACTTTAAAATCATGTAACAAATATGTCTTTTTTGCTAGGGTATCAGAAAGACTTGAGACCAATTTGCACTCAACTTAGATGGCTCTAAGAGCTTATACCAATGAAAAACTTATCCTGTTTATACATATTCCTCTGATACTGAATTTTATTTTTCTTTTCCATTTTAATTAATAAAATCTAATAATGCTTCTAAAATACAGTATAAAACAAACAAGAATAAATAAATACACAACTTACTGGAGATGCACTCATTTTCTTGGCTCTTGGAAACAGGTAGAGGACTCTGGAATTATACCTAGAAGAGAAAGTGAGTGGTAGGAACTGTGAGAAAAACAGTCTGGTCTGATCCTATGTTCTAATATGCAAAGCAAGATCATGACAGAAACTAACAGAGGATAATGGACACATTAGCTGGATAAAATACCAAAAAAAAAAAAAAAAACACCCAGGGAAAATAGTACTATATATCTGAGAAGGGGCAGGAAAGACCTCATTGAAAGAAAACCCACAATTTTATTAGTTGGTAGAGTTCAAACAGAAGTTATTAGGTTAATGAAAAACTTCTTTACAAATGATTTTATAAAAATTATTGTCCGTGCCAAGAAATAATTTAACATTTTAAGAATGACTGTTGAAATGAATTATACTACACCAAAGGAAGAAATATTATGTTATCACCAAAATTTATATTATAGAAAATAGCAGTACAGTATTAACTATTTTCCTATGAAGAGAGGTATGTTAAAAGACTGAATCTTAGAAGTTCCACTAGAACATCCTATGCTCTCATACAACCTAAATTTCATAAAGTACCCAAATTGCAATTCAACATTTTCTGCTCCAAAATTACACAGGAAAAATGGATAATACACATTGTAATACACTTTTCCAGTAATTGTTTCACATGACACACCTTCTGGTACATATACCTTCACCAAGGCCCTCCCCACAATGATTCTGTTTTGCCATTTCAATTGCCTTAGCCAGTGGGACATCAGTAAATATGACACTAACATAGTTTTTGGAAAGTGTTTGTCTATAGGAGTTTGCCTTTTTTGGGTTACTGTTATCTTAGGAAAAAGCCTGAGCTTGCCTGCTGGAGACCCAGGGCCTACCCAAAAGCCAGCCCAAACCTCCAGACCGGTGAGAGAAGCCATCTTCAAGAAACCAGACTCAATCAGGGCACCAGATGACTAAGCCCTGAATTGTGATCCCAGGCAACACCTACACAGGACCTGCCCAGAGAGCTCATACTAAAATGCTGAATCAGAATTACAAATAAAATGGTTATTTAACTTAGCTTTCTTTCAAAGCTGTTCTTGAGAATGAACAACTTTGAATTACATGCCAAATAAAATCAACAGAACTTCAAAATCACACCTAGAAGTTTTCACAAACTTCATACATGCTGACCAAATGGATGTCAGCAAGGTTGCTGGCAATAAAAAGGCCATTTAAATCACACAAAATACAGGCTGGAGATCACAAGACTATATTTTAAATTTTTATTATATCTTATCACTGTATTGTGTTTCACTTATATTTTAAGAAGTTAATTTGCCATCAAGGTGTGATCCACTCTAATTTTCCCATTTTAAATACAGGAAAGTTAGCTAATTTGCTGTAACATTTGTGATTTTCAGTGAACGAAAATCATACAAGTGGGAATGATTTTCTCACTGACATTTATAAGTGAGAAAAATGCACTACAAATCTTTTGAGATCACAGGATCCACACTAACTGCTGGGGGGAAGTTTTAGGCATGTTCGAGGCATAAGTCTAAAACATCATTTATTCTAAACTGATTTTATTTCCTGAAATTTATCTCAAAATTAACCATGAATTTTTAACTAATTACGGCAAAAAGAAAACTAATCAGAAAGTCACGGATGGGCGCCAGTGTGGCGCAGCTGGTTAAGTTACCGCCTGCAATGCAGGCATCACGTAAGGACACTGAATCCAATCCCAGATGCTCCACTTCCGATACAGCTCCCTGTTAACGTGCCCAGGAAAAGCAGCGGAAGATGGCTGAAGAATTTGGGTCCCTGCCACCCATGTGGGATACCCGGATGGAGCTGCCGGCTCCTGCCTCAGCTTGGCCCAGCCCCAGCAGTTGCAGCCATTTGGTGAGTGAATCAGCAGATGCAAGATCTCTCTTTCTGCCTTTCCCTCTCTGTCCGTAACTCTGCCTTTCAAATAATTTTTTTTTTTTTAAAAAAAGGGAACCTGACATCTACAAATCATGTAATACTGAACGACCCACTTTTCTCCTGAACACAATTTGTTTCATCTTCCTTAGGCAAATATGCCCTGGCAAATTCTTTCTGAGCTACCAAAAACTATCAGAATAGGGGGCGCATCAGCACATCTCTGGATACCAAGCGTGATGACTGACTAGGTTGGAGTCAGGTCCAATTCTGGGAATGAGATTAGATCGAAGGAATCACGGGCAGATTTGCAGATAGTACAGGTTATTCCTCAATCCAGGCCACACCACCAAGGCCCCTTTAGGAACTCCCTAGACCCCTTGCATAGTCTTCTCAGCCCACCATCAGCCTCCTTCTGAAAGTTCACAGGAAGCTTCCAACGTCACCCAGTATTTTAAAGTTTATACAATTTGTAATGTAGCATCGCTCAAATCTTGTCTACTCTGGTTAGGAGGATCAATACTTTTTTGGGCCATACAAAGCTGGGATCTTCACTTTACTGGGACTTTTTTTTTTTCCTGTGTTTGAAGTACTAGGGGGGAAGGTTCGTTCGGGACAAAGGAATATTCTTTCAGGTGCAGTTCCTATTCAAGAAGCCCCATTCTTAAAAAAAAAAAAAAAAAAAAAAAAAAAAAAAACTAAGAACTACTTGATTACTTGATCCCAAAGGAAACACAGTCATCACCCACTTGGAACTCACGGTCGCTGGAAAGCAGGAGTGACCCAGAACCTTCACCTGCGGAACACACGACGAAACCCCGCACACACGAGAAGCACACACTCCAAAAGGACTTCCAGAGTTTGCAGGCATTCACCAGGGTCGCTAGCACGGTCATCTCACAGATGCACAAACCGATGCCATACGTGACAATGACAGGATCCTTCCGTGGCTGACCCAGAGCAAGGACACACACACACACACACACACACACCATCTGCTCGCCCACCCTCAACTCCGACGCTGGCTGAGCTTCTGGAACCAGCCTCCTCGCAGCTGGAGGCACACTCCCCGCTTTCTGGCAAGCTTTCCGTCTGCGGTAAAAGGAAAACGCGGAGAGCACAGCCTGAGCGGCTCCTGCTCCAGTCCCAGACCGGAGAAGGCTGGCCCCTTTAACACCTTCTGAGACCCACCCCGGACCGGCCCCGCAACAGCTGCAAGGCAGAGCTCGCCCGCCGAGAAGGGCCAGCGTTTCTGCGCCCGCCGAGCACAGCACCCACCGCACTGCCCACGGCGCCCCACGGCCTCCAGAGACCCCTTTCCTCCTCACCAACCTTCAGGAACACAGAGTCCAACTCCAGCGCCTGCAGAACGGCGTGGGCACAGCCGAGCATCTGGAATTTCCCAGAGGAAGATGGCGGGAGTGGGCGGGGAGGCACATGCGCAGACGGAACCTGGAAGAGTTCCCACGGCCCTGCACCGGTGAAGTCATAGGCGCGTGGAACTACATCTCCCACAAGCCCGCGTGCCCCTTTGTTAGGGAGCAGGAGCACGACTCCGGTGTTGCTTGGGTGGTCAGCCCCGCTGCTTGGAGACCAGCTTTGACACAACTGACCCGGTCTCTACCCACGTGACTACCACTTGGAATCCCCACTCTAATAATTCCCAATGGGACAGATTCCTGCTCAAAAAAATCGTGCCACGAATGTGGGTGGAACATTTAATAATTATCCCCTGCTTTATTTTCTTTTATAGTTCTGATGATTATACTGCAATTATGGAACCCGCATCCATTTATTACGCAAGCTTACTAAAGCATGAAAAAAAAATCACAATGACTCTTTAAAATACTTTTAAAAATCAATATTCCCATGATAACTTCTGAACCTTTGAAAAGACGCTTTAGCCCATCTGCTAACATAACTTGTAGCCCATCCGTGGATCATATCCCACAGCTGAAAAAAACTATTCTAGTGCATATACTGAAATAAAATAGCTGGGTCATTGGGCGAATAAATTCTAAAATCATTGTGCAAATTGAAAAGTGCCTCTGTCCAGTAATTACTTAACTGTATATAAAGTCCTAAAATGTGTACGCCTGACCATCTATATATCTGGAAAAATCTCTGCTTCTTTTTCTTAAAGCTGAACCAGAACTTTTTCATCCGTTTGATGGTCTCTGCCACAAAATAAGCAAGGAAGCCAACACAAGTGTTTCAAGAGCCCTTGTTGCCCTAGCTACTCCTGACCTGAAGTAGGACAGGAAGGACTGACTACGGTGATCAGCATTTGATGTGGTCCTGGGAGGGGATGCAACTGGAATACTGACTCATAGTTAATGATCTATCCCTGGCTTTCTCTATGTTTACAGTAGCGTTTGCCCTATTAAATCTCTGTATATTCTTATATCTTGCAATTTTCCCTCAATGACCTTATTCTGCCAACCAACGGACCTCATTCTTGAGCTTCCGATCCTAGGTACCTCCAACTTAGACCACAGAAGCAAGTGGACACTGAATATAGTGTTGGGGCTGTATTCCTGAATTAGAAAATGAACCAAGATGGCTCAAATGCCCAGATACACCACCTGGAGTAGTGATACTCCATGTGCTTTCCAGAAATCGTTGCTCCTATGCTGTTGGTCATATACCTCTGCCAGCAGGAACTGCTCATGCTGGGACTGGAGATGTAGATTCCATGGGGAGCCCTCAGAACTGAGAAATTGGGGGAGCCAGCATTGTGGCGCAGTGGGTTGGGCCATACCTGTGATGCCAGCATCCCATATGAGCACTGGTTGGAGTCCCAGCTGCTCTGCTTCCAATGCAGCTCTCTGCTAATGATTCTGGGAAAGCAGCAGCAGATGGCCCAAGTACTTGGGCCCCTGGTACCCACATGGGAGACCTGGATAGAGTTCCAGCCTCCTGGCTTCAGCCTGGTCCTGACTGCTGCAGCCATTTGGGGAGTGAACTAGCAGATGGAAGATCTGTCTGGTTTTTTTTTTTTTTCCCCTCTCTATAATTCAGCATTTCAAATAAAAACATAACTCTTTTTTTAAAGTGGGAGGATCATGCTCATTTATTGTTAGCTGACCTTAAATAACACTTCTTTTCTCTGGACCTTAGTCACAAGTTATATGTAATGACTATACTGCATAATTTTGAGGATCCAGCCCGTGACAGAAGTTCTAATATGGGGCCGGCGCTGTGGCACAGAGGGTTAAAGCCCTGGCCTGAAGCGCCAGCATTCCATATGGGCGCCGGTTCTAGTCCCGGCTGCACCTCTTCTGATCCAGCTATCTGCTATGGCCTGCGAAAGCAGTGGAAGATGGCCCAAGGCCTTGGGCCCCTGCACCCGCATTGGAGACCTGGAAGAAGCTCCTGGCTCCTGGCTTCAGATCAGGCTCAGCTCTGGCCATTGCAGTTGTTTGGGGGGTGAACTGGCAGATGAAAGACCTCTCTGTCTCTCCCTCTATCCATAACTGTCTTTCATATAAATAAAATAAATCTTAAAAAAGTTCTAATATTTGATTTATACTTAATGCAGAAGAATGAATAAAATATTTCCTGTAATAAAGATAAATTCACAAGGACTGAAACCTAAGGTTAGTCTTTTCCCATTTACCACTAACAAAAATATGTAGTCATGTAATTGTGGCCATGTTTTTGGGTATTAATTTAACTCAGTAATATATTATTTTGAAAAGATTATATGGAAAAGGTTAACATCACTTTTCCCCACATTCTGAGGATCCACAACTTAAGTCAAGTTTCCCTACATTCTCGTGAGGATCTACAACCTAAATCAAGCATCACTATTCATAGTTTTAAATCCATACATATAAGCATAGAATGTACCATAAAGAAATCAAATTTCATGTGGATTTTAATTTGGGCTATTAGTATATAAAATGTTGCACACAAAACTTGAAGTAGTTCAAATTTTAAAAATTATCAGGGGAGCCGGGACTGTGGCATGGCAGGTAAAGCCACCACCTGCAGCGTTGGCATCCCAAAGGGGTGCCGGTTCAAATCCGGGCTGCTCCACGTCATGCTCCTGCTCCCTGCTCATGCACCTAGGAAAGTAGCAGAAGATGGCCCAAGTGTGTGGGCCCCTGCAACCATGTTGGAGACCTGGAAGAAATTCCTGTCTCCTGGCTTTGGCCTGGGCCAGCCCTAGCCATTGTGGCCATCTGGGGAGTGAACCAGCAGGTGGAAGATCTGTCTCTCTGTCTCTCCTATCCTTCTCTGTAACTCTGACTTTCAAATAAATAAGTAAATAAAAATCTTTTTAAAAATTGTCAGAAATAACATAACTTTTAAAAAGAGCTTTATTAACATATGATCATTATTCCTTATCAGGCAATTCATTCACTAAAAGTATAGAATTAAATGATTTTCATGGGGATGTGCAATCATCAGCAATGTCAACTTCAGAATATTTTTATCACTCAAAAAGAAACAAAACAGGCTGGAATTGTGGTGAAGTGTGTTAAACCTCTGCTTATTAGGATCACCCAAATGCTTGGGCCCCTGCACCCATGTGGGAGACCCAGATGAAGCTCCTGACTTCTGGCTTCAGCCTCACCCAGACGTGGCTGTTGTAGACATTTGAGGAGAAAAACAGAAAATGTATCTCTCTTTCCTCCTTTCTCTCTGTCACTCTTCCTTTAAAATAAATGAATCTTACAAATAAATAAATCTATAGAAAAGAAAGTCAATACCCTTTAGTTATTTTCTCATTATCCCTCATTCCTCCAAATCTAAGCAATCACAAATCGGGTGTTTACACAGATTTTCCTACTGTGGACATTGCAGGTAATCAATAGTGGGATCCAAGTGTTCTCAAGGACCAATATAGAGACCCCCTCACTCAAGTGGACTCTCTTCCCTACCCATCACCTGTCCTCACACAGAACATAGTCCTGGCAACAGCTAATTGGGAGCAGGAGGTAAAATAATGCTGTCTAACACCGCCAAGGGGATTTAGCCCACTAACTGGCAGCTTCCAGGAAAGCAAACCCTGTGTTTAGTTGCACTTGTCTGGAGTGGATTTCACATTCCACTGAGGAAGGAAGGTGAAGGCGGGAGTATATCTGGATTCAAATACCACTGAGTCTGCACGTTCTTATTCAATATTAGCAGAATTTCAGTAATAAGTATATTTCCATTTGCTATATATCCTTGCGACCATATCCAAATTCTTTATTTTAAAATATTTTTATATATTTGGAAAGCAGAGAGACATAGGCAGAGATCTTCTGTCTGCTGGTTCACTTTCCAAATGCTCACAATAGTTTGGGCTAAGCCAGGCCAAAGGTGGAAGTCCAGAACTCTATCCATGTCTCCTAGATGGGTCACAGAATGCAAACCCTAGAGCTATCACTTGCCATTTCCCAGGATATGCATTAGCAGGAAGATGAAATCAGACCCAAGACTGTAACCCTGGTGCTCTGATACGAAAGCTTTCAAAAATCTAATGGATTATTCAAAAATGGCATTTTAAGATGCTGCCATTGATGATTTTGTTAGGAGTGACACACTTTCCCTAACCTCATGGAGAAAGGTGTATCTTTTACTAGTTCTCAGCTAATTTTAGCTAAAACTAATCACAGTAGAAAAAAAAAACTCATGACATTAATTTGCATTTATGTTATAAATAATTAAGCCAGCTTAATATTCACACCAAGTGAAGGATGGAAACTAAAACGAAGTGGGGCAGGGATATGGCCTAGCAATTAAGATGCTAATGTCCAACATCAGACTGTTTAGGTCCTACTCCAGCTTCCTGCTAATGTGGACCCCAGGAGGCAACAGGTGATGGCTCAAGTAGTTGGGTCCCTGACACCCACTGAGTTCCCAGGTTCAGCTTTGGCTTGGCAGAATGAATTTCTCAGTTACTAATGAGGTTAGTTAGAGAGACATCTTTCTCTCTCTCTCTCTCTCTCTCTCTCTCTCTCTCTCTCTTCCTGTATTGCAAAAAAAAAAACAAAATGACGTAAATGGACCTGAACAACTGGCAACATTTCCTCACTAGGTAATGGAAACAAATGATCCCTCAGCTCATAATCCTACCTCGGACCGTGCTTCTACCTCCTTCAAAAGGCCTTAAACCTCTGTCCATAGGGATGGACAAGTGACAGAAAGTGAGCAATTCATAACACCTACCCCTACTGGGCCCCAGGTGGGTTAAGATTGTGTTTAGGAACCACTATGCTGTTTTGTTTGAATCAATATACCACCTCCTCCAAGTTAAAAACTTTAAG